GTAAGTAAGTAACATTGAGCGGTAGAATGGAAAATATAATAGAAATCATATATTAATTTTTTCCAATGTATAAAGATATAAGTAAACTTCAAATTCATTAAACAAATCCTAAATTCACCAAGTATTTAATCGTCAAAACAAGTAAATACTACAACAATAGAAGAATATCAAAATTCAGAACCAGAATTTCAAGAAGTTTTTATTGACAGATCACGATCAATATTTCCCGGGTTCTTCGTTCTTATCCCTTTTGGCCTCGTCTGCAGAGGCGCTTGGTGACTCGTCTGGTATCCAGCCACCTTACTGACGGGAACAGGGGTTAGGACATTACAAAATATTAAATTATTTATCATCAGATGTAACAAAATTGATCAAAAAAATCATAAAAATTAGATATACATATTTACATCTTATATCTATGAATTACTAGACTTTGTTTAATCTTTGTTTTGTACCAACCAGAAGAGAAATAAATGCAATCTATTTTACTTTTCATACTTTCATTTTTAAACAAACAACGTACTAGAAACGTTTCATTTTTCATGACCTTGTTCTAAAACTGTTCCTAACATGACAAAACTAAAATACCTATTCTTGACTTACAGACTACCAACACTAACAATAAAATTAGACAGGATCTGTTTACTGACTACTATGACGTAAACATAAAATATTTGTTGAGTTCACTTTCTCAACAGACTTGAGCAAATCGATTTGTCAAAAGCTTTTGACTTGATATGCCAAATTAAACTGCTTGTTAAATTGGAAAATATTGGAATTCGCGAAAATGCATATAATTTGTTAAAAAGCTACCTTTTGTAGAAAAAAAAATCGTAAACGTAGATGGTATAGTAAGTAGTATACAAACAATTACGTATGAGGTATCTCAGGGTACAGTACTGGGACCTGCATTATTAACAATTTACTGCTACAAAATTCACAAGGCACTTTACTAAGCTTCGCAGGTGATACTTTTAATATTAAACATTAATAAAACCTGAAAGAACTTAATATTAAAAACAGAATCTGACATTAACTACATTTTAAAATGGTTTGAATAAAATAAACTGACACCTAATGTGAAAAAAACTATGTACTTACTTTTACCTCTTACAGCCATAAACTACCAAGTTTATGGTCATTATCTTAATAAAAATTTTCAAATTCCGGAAACAACATAAAATAATTAGGAGTAACATTAGACCGACAGTTAAGATGGGATTTAGATATGGTACATTTAAGGCTTCGAGGTTTCTTGTAGCATCTCAGACTTTTATATTTAGAAATTTCTGAGAAGCTGGATTGCCTCAAGGTTCACATGTTGGTGAACAGGAGCGCATATGAAGGGAGAGTGGTACTGGGGGTAATTATGCCCAAGAATTATTAAAACTAACTTTTTATAGGTACTAAAATGTATAAGTATAAAAAATAAAGTCTTAAATATAGACTTTATTAAACATACCACTACCCCCAGACTTAAACTTTATTACCACTATCCCTCTTTAGACTTAAACTCTGGATGCGCTACTGTTGGTAACGCCGGTGTTCTTAATCCCTAGCGAATCTGGAAATATTCTGTTAAAGAACTAGTGGAGACTTCATTTTCTGCTGGAACCATTAATAGAACACGATTAACTTTTTTAATAATACATTTAATAAGTTATATCAAACATAGTAGCCATGAAAAAAATAAAAGAACTTTATTATCGCTAACTTGCAATAATAATTTAGACCTTACAAAGCAGACTAGTGGCCTTTTACTTTCAAATCAATCAGAAAAGATGAATTATCCTAAACTAATCCAGGAGCTTTCTTAGGATCTATATTTGTTTCTATATTATTCTCAATTTCCTTTAGAGATGTTAGTTTGATGATAGCGGTGTATTTGTCTGGAATATCCCATCGATAATAATTCTTCTGCCTCTTTCAGTTGGTAAGTATTTTATAAGTGCTCTGCTTATTTGTTAACTTTTTGTACGTCAGTGGTTTTATTGTTAGTTAATTCACTGATGTACTCACTAATAGCACAGAAGAAAAAACAATACAGAAAAGAAATATAGGGCTAGTTCCACAGGGATACTCTGAGAAAACGTAACTATTTACCATATACCTAGCTTAGTGGTGTACTGGGAATCTATATACGTTTTCTCCAGAGTATCTCTGTGGTGGAACTAGCCCTATGTTTCTCATCTGTATTGTTTTTAATTCTGTGCTGACAGAATAATTTTTTATTTTATAAGTGCTGGGTGTCGTTGGTTTTATCCTTAGATAAAAAATTAAATATAGATAAGTAACGTTTTGGATTTGTTTGGAGCCAATATCTACCCTTTTTTCTACAGACAAATTCCTGGATCAGCCTATTGTTTTCCTACTCAGGTCCCAAGACACACCTCCTCTGTATGCAGCAGATGTGGTTGCATGTCGCGTCGAATGTGCTGAGGATATTAATTCCTATTGTAGACAGGATGTTTTTTATTCAACGCCCCCATCGTGGCCCTTGAAGGTCTCCTGTAAGGTTCCTTTGTTCTTACTATTAAATATTTATTTTTCTCTTATCTAAATGAGGCGGTTCTTTCTATATAAACTAACAATGTTAAGGCTATACACACATTAGGCTTGTCCTGGGAAAAAATAATTCTAGGCATGGCTGTGGAGCATTTGGTCTTGACGTCTTTATTAGCTTCGGTATATAAATTCTTACTCCTGTTAATGTAAAAATTATATTTTCCTCTTTACTTAAATTAAATTTTGCAGTATTTGCCCTGCCGCGATAGCTAACAGCGTAGTTAGCTTTTTAGTCAACATCATTTGATTGTCTTCTAATTAATCTAAAAAATCAAGACAACTTGTGGATCTCAGGTAACATATTATCTAGACTTAGGTGGTCTTAGCTTAGATATATATATACCTTTTACAAATCTTCTCATCTTACTGTTTATACCAACCTCTGGAAAATTAATAAAAGAGCAGAACGGTGCTGGTTGAATGTGCCATATATGGACTTAACTTTTTTCATTTAATTCCGATTGTAAAAACATTAGAGATATTAGCAGTAAAATGATCAATGTCTTTTGCACTGCAAAACTGCTACCAAGCCTTCAAAGATAAGTTGTACTGTTTTTGCTCTAAAAAAAAGAAAGAATTTGTTTTTGAGGTTCCAGTATATTTTTTTCTGAAAATAAAAGCTTACTAAATAGTGGGTACCAAGGCTGTGTTGGCCGGTCAGGTACTACTACAATACTTTCAGCGTGATCCGTAATAATTTTATTTAACATGCGCAAAATTTGTGTAAAAGGAGTAAAAGCAGAAAAATCTAAACCCTTTCAAGATAGTGTAAAGGCACGAATCTGAGTCTCTAAACCAAGATATACAGGGTGATTCATAACTATTGGGACATAGATTAAGGGCAGGTTATTTATATCAAAATATGGCGATAGGACCAAATATACCTTAATAAAATATGGCTGTGGAATAAGATACAGGGCGTTAAAGTTGAATTTTTTTTCGTTTTTTTATAATCTCACTGTATATTTATGAATTGTTATCAAAATCGGCTCAAAGGCATATCTTTGGACAAGGGATATTATTTTATGTAATATTTCACATTTTTTACAGGGGGCGCCACGAGAATGATTCCTGATGATGAAATTAAGTGGTAAGTTTTTTTGCCGAAACTTTTTAGTACTTTTTATTAGAAAATATTACGTAAACATCATTTATACGTAATATTGGTACTCTTGTTTAAACACGATAATTTCACCTGTTTTCGAGAAAAACGCAATTGAACAGTTCAGAGTCTAAGAAGGATATTTCAAAAAATATTTTATTTATGAAAAGTGTGCTTTGGACTGTCAGATAATTGTGTCTGGTAAATGTCAGTTCTTGCCAATGAATTATTTTTTCTGTGAGATTATAGTCTATTGTTGCATTTTTTAAAGCTTTTTCGACTGAAATGCCTCGTCACAATCATTTTACGAATGAAGAAATGCGGGATATGGTTTGTGTATATGCTCAAGAAAATTTTTGCGGTCGCATGGCAGCCAGAAGGTATGAATTGTTATATCCAGGCAGAAGGCAACCAAATCACAAAACTTTTGCAAATCTATTTCATCGTTTGGGTGAAACCGGGTCATTTCATAGTGAAAATCTGGGTGGTCGTCCGAAACAAATCACACCTAATGAAGAAGATGAAATTTTGGTTCGAGTAGATGAAAATCTTGAACTAAGTTCACGTCAACTGGCAATAACAACAGGAGTAAGTCAGTCGTCTATTATTAGAGTTTTAAAAAAAGAAAAGTTTCATCTTATCACTTCACTCCTGTTCAAAATTTGCTTCCAAGAAATCTTCCAAGACGGTTACAGTTCTGCCAACGTATTCTCAACAAACATAATGATGACCGAAATTTTATTAAAAATATTATATTCACCGATGAAGCGACTTTTACTAGACGAAGTGTTTTTAATTATCGAAACAGTCATCACTGGGAAGAAGAAAACCCGCATGCTCGCAAAGAAAGATATTTTCAACATGAGTTTAAATTTAATATTTAGTGTGACATTATAGGCGACCAACTACTAGGGCCATATCGTCTTCCTCCAAATTTAAATGGAGATTCCTATTTATTTTTTTTTGCAAAATACTTTTAGAGATATTTTGGATGATATGCCACTAGATGTAAGAAGGAAAATGTGGTTTATGCAGGATGGAGCTCCACCTCATTTCCCATTAGTTGTTAGAAATTATCTAAATGACATATTTCCTCAACGTTGGATTGGCAGAGGAAGTAATTTTGAATGGCCACCAAGAAGTCCTAACTATAACCCTCTTGATTTTTATGTATGGGGACATATGAAGTCCTTAGTTTATACTCAGGAAATTAATTCACGATACAAACTCTGGAGGAACATACAAAATGCGGGTAATTTTATAAGTGGACAGAATAATATTTTCTTTGCCATCCGAAAGTCCTTTATTAAAAGAATTAGAAAACGCATAGAAG